GATATGGGTGGTCCATGGAAATGAAAAAAAGTTCAAGTTTCTTTTAACTTTCTGGAAACTGTGCAAAGTGGTTGAGTCTCACAGGAAATATTGGAAAATTGAATTGATTTTATTTCAGTTATTAAAACAATTATTGACCTGATGATCATTACATCACCGAAATTCTGAGGAATATCGGAATAACTTCGCAGATTGAAAAATACTTTCGACAAGTCCGCATCTAAAAGTTCAAAGTTGGGGTACTCCAGGATGTGCCCTGTTTTATGAACACATTCTGACAGTCGTATTGAATTTAAAAAATATTTCTAATATATCTGTGAATGAAGATGATATAACCAAAAATACAATTCCAAATTCTCCAGTTTTTCTGTATATTTGCGGAACTAACATACATGATGTCGATATTTTTTAGTATTCAAAAACATTTGACTCATTTATCTTTTCATCTTCCACCATTTACAAAATCTCCATGTGGAGGAGAGTAGAATTTGAACATTTTATATCCATGGAGAAACACAAAATCAAAGGGCAGTTGTTCGTACACTTTTTTAAAGTTTATTCGGCCAAAACACACTACCCGCGGCCTACTTCCCAGATCTGTATATCTACTATTATTATTATGATGGTAGCTTTCATTTTACACCCAAATTTCCAACCAGTTCTCCTGGCTATGTGTTCATGAACCGAGTTGAGTCTTCTAAAATTAGAATCACTACATGCTAATCAAATATCGTACGTCAGCCAATCCTCCGAGCAGATTACAGTATGTCGGGTTGCATATATACAAAGGAGAAATTGCGTACCTAGACCAGAATCAATGAATGCATGAGAAAGGGGTTTTTTCTATTAAATTGACAACATTGAAGGACAGATGTTTTGTGTAATTTTGTTAAATAGTATAAAAAATAAATTCAGCATACGCGAAGACCTTCACAGTAAAATATATTATATAGCATACATAGTATGTTTAAGGTATATACAAAATAAAGCTTCGATACAATGAGGTATTTTCCCAAATATATGTTGATATATTTGAAATCTGAGTGGAAATTACTAGAACCAAAATGACAAATGTGAAGATATAAACAAATAATTTCATATTGAATTGAAGGGGTTATATTTTTATATTCTCTTGTATTTTCCAAATGAAATAACCTATATTTTCTCACATAAGTGCACTTCTCTTGAGCTTTTTTTCAGGATATGGAATATTATGGGTATATACCCAGCGAAATGTTATTACAAAAATTGTGTCAGAATATATTTCATTTTAGAGAACAAACTTCTCCAGAAATTACTATAATAGAAACAACACATGAATTCGTGTCAAATGTATAGAATAACCCCGTTGGGAATATAAGAAGCAGAGGTTATCGTAATAATAGACAAATCTGTTACTGAATTCAAATAAAAAAGAAGAAAGGTGTTGGTTTTCTACTTCTCCATCTTCAAACAAAAAATGTAGGAATATTCCGAAGAAAAAAAAATGCAATCAATTAAAAAAATCAACTATATACAAAAATGTGTAGATCATGCACAAAAATATTTTTCAGATAAATACCGGAAGAAAAACCCTCTCGAAACAGCTACTGTCATATAAAAATTTAATTACAAGAAATAAAAATACAAATACTTTCATATGAACACTGAATTATACAAAAAACACTTTTCTCTATTCAATTTATATTCTAATTCAAACAAGATTCCTATGGATGTGATTCAATTAAATGAGCGAATGAATGTCATTACGTACTGTCATCGATGACATAGGTAGATTGAACTCATTCGTGACATCAAGTCTAAATTTCTTGAATGAAATGGTTGCTTTATTTTTTGAGGTACCTATCCTCATTTGGTGCTGAAGAGGCGATGAGGCGAGTGTCTTACTCCGAAACATCGGATATCCACCAGTGAGGATGACAGCGTTCCAAGTTAGTGAATTTTATTTGAAATGAAGGGGTTATATTTTCAGAAGTGATTTATTTTTGGAAAAAAACGTTTTTGGCTTTCTACTACTCCATCTTAATACAAAAACATGCGGGAATCTTCCAAAGAAAGGAAGGAAGTATTTTGAAAATAAGTAACTCTATACATGGATGTGTAGATCATGCAAAGAAGCAACTTTCAACACAAACTGGAAGAAAGCCCACCTGAAACAGCTACTTTCATATTGACATTGAATTATACGAAAGAAAAAATCTTTCGAAACAAATACTTTTATATGAACACTGAATTATACAGAAGATACTTTTCTCTACTCAGTTTGCATTCCAAACATTCGTTATGGAATAAAATCAGATATCATTCACAGGAGTTCTACTTTGAATGAATGATAACAAATTGCACTTACATAAAACACTGTCATCCACCCCTTCAATTCAAATAAGATTCCTCTTGGCTGGGATTTATTCAAATATGTGAATGAATGTCATTACGATGTCATCGATGACATAATTACTTATTTCGTGACATTAATAATCGTAATTCATGAATGAATTACATATGTGTAATTTCTATAATGTTATCCAATTTGGTACTGAAGAGCCTTGAGGCAAGTGTCTTAGGGCGAAACATCGATGTCTACCAGTGAGGATGGCAGTGTTCCATGTAAGTGCAATTTGTTACCATTCATTCAAAGTAGAACTTCTGTGAATGATATATGATTTTATTCCATAACGAATGTTTGGAATATAAACCGAGTAGAGAAAAGTATCTTCTGTATAATTCGGTGTTCGGTATTTGTTTCGAAATAATTTTTTCTTTCGTGTAATTCAATGTTTGTATGAAAGTAGCTGTTTCAGGTGGGCTTTCTTCCAGTTTGTGTCTGAATGTTGCTTTCACAGCGTTTCACAGAAGTTATTCCTGCATATGCTGTTGGCGATTCAACTGCCGCAATAGATTTTCAATTATTGGAACACACTTGCAGACCGGTTTCGGGCTGTTTGGCCACTCGTCAGTGCAAGGTAGTGTATATCATCAACATAAAGTCGATGATTTCCGATAATTGNAAACCGCAACATGTGATTCACTATACAAAGGTGTTTTCATACTGATTAAATTATACCTAATTACTGCTTGATATAATAACAATTTGAATTAAATAATATTCTTTTTACACTAAAAACAATTGGTTTGAAATTACACAATCATTACATATTTCATGATGTTATATATTTCATGAACTTTATTATCGAACGAAATTACAAGGCATTTCCGGTTTTATTCTGATATTTAGAGAAAAAAAAAGAAGAATACGATTGAATATTATTTTATTCATGTAAATTTTTGTCCTATGTTGTACTTATTCATGATTTCTGTATAATTTGGTGTTTTTTTGTGAAAATTCACATGTTACACTGTAATCGACAAGTGTTTTTTAGTGTATTGTGGTGTGATTGCGTGTTATAACTTAAGTCTACTAGTTTTATTTCAATAGTTATCATATGCGTTATTTGCCATTTTCACTGTCATGTTACCAGAAGCAATGATACACATATTTTTATTCATTGGATATAGAAATCAGAGCAATCATTGTTGAACCCATTGAATAATTCATTTTCATTTCTGGTCAAAATAATTTGTGAATATTGAATATTTTGTTATCACATTTCTATATTAAATCTCATTCTGGTAGAAGTAGCAATCAATTTCTCCACTTGATGGGCATTCAAATGAAGTTATGAAAATTCAATTATTTTTGGGTTCAGTGGTCCTCCAGCAGGGGTAAGTAATATAATATATAACCTGAAACTTACTTCTGAAATTTAAACATTTACAATGTAGTTTTACAAAATTGGATCCACTACAATGAGATTTTATAAGTAAATTTTCATTTTCTGTGTAAAATTCACACATCATTGAAATTTCAATACGTCAATTCCATAAAAACTCGCGTAATTTCACTACAAGTATTACAAATTTATTGAGTATATTCACAAAAATTATTATGTAATGAAATTCACATCAAGTGTGTATTATACCGAATCGAATATGAAGGTACATAATATAACGTTGACAACAAATCGCCAACTTTTTTTTTATGTAATTTTACATTTTTCTTTCCACTGTGACGGAAACAATCAATTTCAAAAGGAGTAACTCTAAACGTAGATGCTAAAAATTCCTTGATTTATGTAAGAAAATATTTAGAAAATCGTTCATCGCCTTCGATTATACAGTAAGTCTGTTAAAAAAATTGTTAAACTCTGTTTTTCCGTTAACCAGCTGACGCCCCCTACAAACAACAACTCTCACGAGTCGAAACTTGTGTGAGCTCTGGACTAACGAGGTCTTACCTTTTAACATGTGTTTCCTAACAGGGGTTGGATGATCGGAAGTGAAATCGATAGTCCGGCTTTGCGGTTCGAACCACCGGTTCACACAGCTGTTGATAGAGTGAGTGAAGCAAACCACCCACGTCAACCCACCAGGGTACCGTTAAATGATATTTAATTTTGATAAAACTGACTTTAATACAACGTGCTCCCACTCGGTAGCCTATATAGGTATCGGTGAATGATTCAAAGAAGTCCGATGCATTGATCTCGAAATATTTTATACCTTCAGTTTTTCATTTCGAACTCCTTATGGAACTCGATGTAACCCACATTGTATAAAAGCTATCAACTCACGTATTCTCAATTTTGTATATTTATTATTTTCACATATTTGAATAAGAAGTTTCCTTGATTTCTTCTAGTGAAAGTTTCATAATTTCGAGAATCTGAAATATTCAGATGAAATATATAATACTGTGGTTTCATTAGAAACATGTTTCACCTCGGAATTTGGAACACAGTTCTAATTCCAACTGAAAATCTCAAAAAGTGATTTCTCATAAAAGAGAGGTTGAGGTTGTAACATTTTTTATTGGTAATGAGAAAATATAAAACGTTTTTTGTTACGGCATTCTGTGTAACTAAGTGTATTTCCAACCAACAAAAACTATGAGGTATCATTACTTGCTGGGCCAAACATGATTATTTTGATAACTAACCAACCTTTTAAGAAGGGCTCCCACTGATGTCTCGTTCCTCTAAACAGTCGATTATTGAATGATGCGCATTGTTCGTATCGAAAGTCTCTGCCAGACGGACAGTCCTGCAATGAAATTAAAAATAATGATTATTCTTAAACGTTCTTTGTGAATGTAATTTTGATCGAGTGATGTAATCAAGAATCCCGAACATGACTTGTATGAAAAAATGAACAGTGTACATAAACGACGGAAAAGATTACGAAAAACAAATATGACCCAAATAGGACCCAAATGTTTGGTAATTATGTTCCTCGTTAGTTATTGGACATATATTCAATATTCAATTCAATGGAATTGAATATATATTTCATTTATAATGCTCCCTTAAAGTAGTTTGTACTCTCAAAGTAGTTTGTACTCTTTGAAATAATATATTTTCGTACTAACCCAACAACTGTCGAAAAATTTAGTTTTTGAAAATTTCACAATTATCGGTGAGATATTGGCAAAAAACTAATGTAACTAATGTTACTGCAGTTTCGTCCTATAAGGACATTTCATTGTAATTGTTTGAAAATGTCCTTAGAGCATGAATCTGCAGTAACATTAGCTACAAATGAAAGTGGTGAAAAAACATAGAAAGCTTTACTTCTTGTTGTTCATGATGTTATCCTACCACGTAGTAACTAACGGCTACATCCTTCAATGTATTGAAAGCGACGTTTCGTTCATTAGATTGAATCATTACTATTTTAATACGATGATCCTAAATTCAAGCACAAAATCATCAGAGTCAAGTTTTACAATTCACCATTAGAGATGTCTAAAGAGAAGGCTAAATTTTTTCGTATTCTGAATTCGAAAACATCCATTTACTGGTAGATCTTAATGATTATAATGATTGGAACGTCAGAACGTGATTCGTGGCTAAATCTGTTATAAAGTTATGAAAGAAGTAAAGGCTAGGCAACCAATCTGACTGAGGTAGCTATTGTACAGTGAAACACGTGTTGCGATTTCGTAAACTGTCTAGTGAAAATCTCACAGTAACGTGTTACTTAAATACAAATGAATAAAATAAAGTTTTACACTAACTTCATTAGAAACCGAAACAAAAATATTCTGAGTGGGCTTAACCCACATGAACATTCTGTCTAATTCCGGTAGAGATAAACAATACCGTTGAGTGGGAGTGCCATAACTCTGATCAAATTAATAAACTAATACAATACCTTCATTATCAATAAATAAAATACCACACGTTCCAAGTACAAGGTGTAGCCTTCCAGTTTATCTAATTTATATCTTGTCGGACAATATATAAGGCGATGGTGATGAGGATGAAAGTGGATAAATCAACTTACCTGACTGTTGCATAAGTGAATCCTCTTATAAAGTCCTACACAGCCGCTGGGTTGTCTCGCATTCTGACGTCGTCGTCTTTGTCGTCTGGCAAACCTACGGAAAAATTGAGAATCGGTAATTGTGAATCATTTAGACTGATAGGCCGGCCTGTTTGTCTAGTCTAGGTGGGAGGTATGGCATGGCCATATTATAATAGAAAGGCCAAGGAATAATATCAGTGCTGCGTGCTTCGTAACCAAAATTATTCATGAGTATTATTCAGAGAGTATAAGGTTTCAGAGTTCTGAAGATTCAAATGTATCATTTGGATTTCATTGCACTCTTCGAAATTGACGATTAAACAAAAACCTCAGGAAGGAATTTGAATGTGATAGCTTTATTTAAGTTGCCTTCTAGAAATACAGGATGTCCCACAATGTCTTTCATAGGAATGCATCCGTTATTCAAAATAATAGAGATATGATCTGAACTACCTCAGAAGATCTATCACGAAATATAGAGATATCACAGTCAATTTTCTAGGCAAGGCACCACCTACTATTTCCACGCTAGAATCCACAATGTCGGAAATTACTTCTCGACAACGTCTAGTCAGGCGAATTTTGAAACAGCTCACTGTCAACAAGGCGTCTGGTCCTGATGAAGTGTCCGTCATCGTACTCAAAAAGTGCACAAATGATCTCGCACCAGTATTTTGCAGACTTTTCATCCTGTCTCACAAGAATCGGGTTTTTTCTTCTTGTTGGAAGACTGCTCGCGTTCAACCTCTTTCCAAAAAGGACAAGAAAAATTTTCCAAATAACTATGCACCAGTCGCTTTGCTATCAGTGATATCAAAAATCATGGAGAAAGCCGTAAACCACCATATCCTTAAAAATTTGGAACGCTTCAACATCTTGAGCGATAATAAATATGGCTTTCGGAAACAAAGATCAACAGGCGACCTTCTATCATATGTCACCTACATATGGAATAACGCAATCGAGAGACATGGAGAGTCAAGAGCTGTTGCGCTCGATATTTCTAAGACCTTTGACCGTGTGTGGTATGAGGGTTTGCTGGCCAAACTTCGATACTATGGCTTGTCGGATCATTTTTGTATATGACCCTTCAGCTTCCTGAAAGAAAATTCCCTGCAAGTGGCCGTTGATGGATGTCCCTCGAATACTTTCACCATCGACGTAGGTGTTCCCCAGGGATCTATATTGTCTCCAACCATCTTTTTATTGTATATCAACGACTTAGTGGAAAAAAATCAAGAATCCAATATATTGCTTCGCTGACGACAGCATACTTGTCTCGTCATTCTATTTGGATTCCAGGACATCGGCTACGAAGGCACATCTTCACCGACAGCAGGAGGTTGCATATCCTAATGAAGATCTTGTAGCGTATATAAAAACCTACTGTACTTTTCATTTAATTTTCATTTCACCGAAGGTAATCCAAATTGATTTTAAAGAAAGTTTCTTGTGGAGTAGACAATCCAATTTACACCTTTTGCCTCGCTAAGATTTTCACTTCTCAATACACATATGATAATTAGTTTCTGGTACAGATTAATAAGTTTTTCTTTCCAATAGGACCGATTCATTCGGATCCCTTCGAAGTAGATTTTCTATTTTCGTTAAACCGAAAGTCAGGAATGAGGTGTTGCCAAAATTATTTGGGTGAATTCCTCAGAATGGACTTTCGCTGTAGGTAATCCTTGATCATGAAAACGGCAAGGAGATGTGCCATTTTTGGAAAAGGAGTGATGTACGAGAATCCAGAGAAGGGATTTGTAACCTCCATGTAAGTATGCGAATGGAATCAGAAAAGAGACGCCCAAAGAAGTCATTGTATGACGAAACACGTGTTGCGTTTTTGTAACACTGTTTAGAGAAAATCTCACAATAAAGTGTTTTTTGAATACATTTATCAGGTATCCGACAATTTCATTACATATATTTCCACAGTTTTACAGTTTATGATGAGTGCAAAATTGTTAATATGCTGGTCAATGATAATACCAGTGTGATGGAATATTAGAGTTAGGAGGAAAACAAATTCAGCAGATAGTTTGTCCAATAAGTTATTGGTAATAGGGGCATGAAACGATAATATTATTTTGATGTGTGTTACAGAGTATTCTGTGCTTTTCATTTAAAAAAATAATACACCAATATAATAATGGGTTCATTCAATGAAAAGTGGAAATCTAAATTCTGAGATAGATGATATTCATTTAGATAGTCCTACTTTAGTTATTGAAAATGGAATCCTTCACATATTGGAAATTTTAAAATTGCCATAATTTCATATTAATGCAGAAGGGTAACTCAAATTTCTCTCTTTGTTGTCATTTGAAATATTTCGAACATAGAACAGTCTCGGATATAGATCACTTTGATTACAGCAGCATGCCGATCAATTTCAGAGCGACTTTCCAAAGTTCTGAGAAGAATTTCTATATATACCTGGGGATTTGCACCTTCCACAATATGAAAAATTGGAAACAGTAATGGGTACCTTCATGCAGGTGTAGAAATGGCAGTGTTTTCAGTTAACGCCGGTGAGCTACATCTTTTTATAGTCCTGAAATATAACTAAAATCTTTGCCTTTTCTACGAGTGTATAAAGTATTTCAAAAAGGTAAAACCACCAGAAAGCTTGAAAAAAACTGTACATTTTTTCCCAAAAAAATAATTTAACGAGTAGTTCAAAAACCCATTTCATAACTTCTGATTATTACTAATACAATGAACAACGAATAGGAGCGTGTTTCCCCGGAGTGGATGGATGCGTAGAACTATTCTCATCGCCCACGGAACGGAAGCTCATGAAGCCATAAGCACGTACAAGCAAATAACAATTGAGTATCCGTCGTCAGAAGACGTGGAAGCAAAAGTTATGAAATTAAGAAGCATTAATGAGGAGTGCAGAATTGTGTGAAGTAAAACTTCTGCAGTCCCAGGACAAAGTTCCCTTAGTGTATATTACACTATAAACTGAGGAAGATACTGAGAAGAGGTGAAACGGTAGATACCACGTGTTGGAAATTTCTAGTTTTGTAAAAGTAAGAGAACCAACCAACAAAGAAACGGGAAAGAAACTTTTCATGTTACTGGAAGGTTGAAACAGTGTGTTCCAATCAATTTATATACAATTCAAAGGAATATTTTCTGTTAGAATAATGAACTGAAAATCATTACTCTTAATACCTATATATTAACCCTGTAATTTTTACACGCAGCTTGAGAAAAGGCCGGACAGAATATTTCGAATTATGGTACCGTTGAAAATATAATTGAATACCATTCAATATTTGAAGATTAAGATCCACTCCTTGTTGCAGGTTCAATCACGAATAGTTATAATTATTTCTTGGAATTGTCCTCTTGAAAATAAAATTGATTGCAGTTCAGATGTTTTAGATTTTTTCTCGGGAGGAAGATTCAATCATGCCATTACCGATACATAACAGAACAATGGTTTTAATAGATGATTTGTTTTTTTCAATTGCGAATTCAGTCTAATACGTGTATATTTATCAAGTTCAGTGAGTCCTGTGCACGTAATAAAGTACCAAACAAATTCTGATTGTTTTGATGCATTTTGACCTCTTCATCAAAATAGTTAGGTATTTGTTCATTTCAGTATTTATCATCACAATGACTACTTCTGCTTATTTCTATTATCGAGAATAGTATCGCCAGAAACAATTAATGGTTTTGGCGAAGGCGGTGAGCAAAAACAACGTTCAGTTGTTTTCATTTCTCACCAATTACAATGTAAAGAAAGCAACGCCTCCTCGAGAAAAAAATTCAGAAGGCAACTAACGTACATACGCGACATTGCCATAAATAGGCTAATGAAAGAGATTGCTTTCCTACCGAAATAAAAAAAAGATTTCTTAGTCCGTCACCTATAATAATTTACAATTGTGACACAAACAGAAGAGAATGATTCAATAGCGACAAGACTAATAGAAGAAACAAATACATCTACTAAACGAGTTCACCCATACTATAATATCTTGTGGGATAGGGATCTTTATGTTCAGTGATATATGCAAAAATATTGAAAAAAAAATCAAATATACTCACTTTTTTTAATAATTATAAAGATGATTTGACTTTTTATTTCCATATAAAAGTTGAAATTTGAATTACTGAAGTGGAATGAATCCAACATAAACAATGGATGAACACCAGTACAACTAATTAAGCTACAGTATAACGACAGGCGTTTTGAATAAAATTCATTTTGAATTTCTCCAATTAGTATCATTGATAGTGCTATTAATTTTAACCAAGTATGAATAACTAGTATAGTAGTGTGAAAGCTGGTGAACAATTCTGGGTAGGTTCTTGAGACACAACAAAAAAGTCTGTCATTGTCTTTGAATGACCCCTAAATGATAAAGTCGAGGTCTGGGCTGAAGGGTAGCGGCCCCCTGCCAACCCTTGAACTTTTTAACAGAAGATCTTTTTTAATAAAAAAGTTTTTGAGGCACTCTGAAATTAAATATTCAAGTTGAATATTCAACTTATATCAATTACTTGTTGAATATTCAACTTGAAGATATAATATTACCCAGACTCTTGAAAAATGAATTTTTTGATAAATTGGAAATGTTCTATAGATACTGAGAGACAAATAATTTCTGAAAGCGAGATCAATTTGATGTAATTTTCTATCTTCCAGACGACCAAGAGATTTGTGCGGGTGAACAGCACCATTCGTAGATTGAGGTGCGAGAGAGACCCTACATCGGCTGTACCTCTCGCTTAGGGTTACTGCGACGCGATTGGCTATCATGAGATCACGTGTCCTACAGCACCCATGTGCATGTGGACTCTCAGTTATAATTTCGAAACTAAACAATAATATCACGTGAGCCAAGTGTTTTCAATTGCTTGTTTTACTTGTTTATTATGCAAAAAATTTAATCACTCAAAATATTTTTGGGACTTAGCCCGTTATCGATGTCCAATGTCCGGTTTTGCGAATGGGGACACATAGAAATCGCATTAAGTCTCCTCTACAACTTCGGGTTACAATCATTCACAAATTTCATCATAGCGTCTATTACTTGTGGTTTGTTCAGT